CTACTGCATGGTAGTAAATTCATTAAACTCATGGTACAAGATGACATGGATAAATCTCAGAAACATTATGCACAGTCTAATAAGCCAGCCACAAACACCTACTATAAAGTTTCATTTATAAAAACAGGCTGTAATCCCAGCACTTTGGGAGGCAGAGGCAGGCAGATCACGAGGTCAAGAGATTGAGACCACCCTGGCCAACATGGTGAAATCTTGTCTCTACTAAAAAATACAAAAATTAGCTGGGTGTGGTGGCAGGCGCCTGTAGTCTCAGCTACTCAAGAGGCTGAGACAGGACAATTACTTGAACCTAGGAGGCAGAGGTTGCAGTGAGTCGAGACTGTGCCATTACACTCCAGCCTTGCACCTGGTGACAGAGCAAGACTGTCTCAAAAACAATAACAAACAAACAAAAACAAGCAACACTGCTGTGACAAAATAATCTACATTTACAAATGATTTTCTATAAAATAGTTTGATTTACTCTTGGTCAGCATTATCCTCTCATGAGTATATTGAGCTCAGAGCATTTTTAAAGTTTTTTTTATTTAAAAAAATTTTTTTCAGAGCATTTTTTTTTTCTTCCAGATATAGCTAAAAATAAAAAAGCCAAAGAATGAATCTGGTTTCCATGGGCCTCTGAGTAGATGAATGACTACATGATTCCTCTTACAGAGCAAGCTGATCCGCCCATTTACCCCCTAAGACATATGCCTTAAAATATTCTTATGACCATCTCATATAAATTTGGCTTTCTTAATCGATGCATTCTGCAGTCCATAGTTTGCATTTATATAAACTTCTACCTTCCTCCCCTCCTTCCTCCTTAATTTCTCAAATATTAATCATTTGCATTTCAGGACTTTTTGACCATTCAGATGAGCATTGCTTTATTCTTGTTTTATTCAAGTTGTTTTTCTTGGTCCTCACATTCATGTTTGTCTTCTTAAAGGCATTCCACAAAGGCATGCTATACCTTGCACAACTCTAAAATTATCTGAAAGTTTTTCAGACTCTTCTGATGCCTAAGACTTCACATCCTCTGTGTCCCCCAGAGACTTCAAATTCTAGAACACTGATTAAGACCTGAAATGAGGATTGACTTCTATTTATTCAGGACATGAGTAAACATTTTTCCAGTAATTGATATATATCTTCGGATTACTAAAAATTGTATACTCACCTAGCTTATTAGAAAATCCAATAAAAGGGCCGGGTGCGGTGGCTCAAGCCTGTAATCCCAGCACTTTGGGAGGCCAAGGCGGGTGGATCACGAGGTCAAGAGATTGAGACCATCCTTGTCAACATGGTAAAATCCTGTCTCTATTAAAAATACCAAAAATAATTAGCTGGGCATGGTGGCGCGTGCCTGTAATCCCAGCTACTCGGGAGGCTGAGGCAGGAGAATTGCCTGAACCCAGGAGGCGGAGGTTGCAGTGAGCCGAGATCGCCCCATTGCACTCCAGCCTGGGTAACAAGAGCGAAACTCCGTCTCAAAAGAAAAAAAAAAAAAAGGAAAATCCAATAAAAAGGCATAAAATAATTTAGTTGATTTGAAAAAATGATAGCTTCTTTTCCTTTCCCTCTCCTTTCCTCCCATATATTGAGTATGTTTCACCGAAAGGAACAATTTGATACATTGTTCCAACTAGGTCTTACTATCTAGCAAGATATCAACATTTAGAGCTTAAAGGACAATTTACTTTGGTATCTCACATTTCTTTGGGTTGAAGTAGCCGTGTAGCATGCTGTTGAAGTCAGGCTTTTCCTGTAGCTACAGTCATCTTAGGGGGCTCCTGGGCTGGAGGTCAAGATAGCTTATCATATGGCTGGCAGTGCAAGGTAGCTATTGTCTAGTAGCTCAACTTGGGGTTAGAGTGCCTATATGTTACCTCTTCATGTATCCTGAGTTTCTCAAAGTATGAAAGTTTGATTCTAAGTGTTAGCATCAAAAGACTTAAGCAGAAGTGGAAGGCTTAATTGTGGAAGTCCCACCAAATACATTTTGCTGCATTCCATTGGTAAAGCAAGTCATTAAGCTCAGACTAAATTTGAATGGAGATTTAAACTTCCCCTTTGAATGGAGGAGTGACAAGGCCACATTGCTGGGGAGCACATAAGATAGAACATATTGTTGCAATCATACCTGGAAAATAAAATCTCTCATGCCTATTATTTTAAAAAATGAAGACCCAGGCTGGGCACAGTGGCTCATGCCTCTATTCCCAGAACTTTGGGAGGCTGAGGCAGGCAGATCATGAGGTCAAGACATTGAGACCATCCTGGCCAACATGGTCTCATTGATATGATAAGATTGATTGATATGCGTAAGGCTTATCTAAGGTTATGATAAGCCTAGTAATGGAATGGCTGGGTCAGGAAGTAGGTGTATTTTTAACTGTATTGGAAACTATCAGACAGTATTTTAGAATGGTTACACTATTGTATTCTCTTTTTCTCTCTCTTTTTGAGACAGTCTGTCGGCCAGGCTGGAGTGCAATGTCTCAATCTCGGCTCACTGCAACCTCTGCCTCCCAGGTTTAAGCCATTCTCTTACCTCAGCCTCCCACATAGCTGGGATTGAAGTCTTCTTCCTCAGCAATGCTCAATATCTCAATGATTGGCTTTCTGTGTGCTGAGCAGTGGGAAATGGAACAAGAGCCAATCGCGCTAAGGATCCAGGTCTGTAACAGGGGCCTGTTAGGTGCAGGATTCTGTTGGCTCCAATGATGTTTCTCAGATGAGCTGATTTTTATGGACATAGCCTCTGAAAGAAATCAGTCAGGGAATAATTCAGAGACACTTACCTGCATGTGAATTCTTCATTAATATAGAAGGGAGAACTGGCATTAGATTGTTTTCAGCAAATAAAAGTAAAATCAAAATTTAGAAAAGAGGAATGGGGAGGAGAAAAAATGTCTTGGACCATTGCGATTTTGCTCCCTTTGGATAAGCAACTCGGCAGAAGGCTATCAAAGAAGTCACTGTAACCTGTCTTCTCTGGACCCATGTGACTTGGTCACCACAGGAAACAATGACAAGCTGGGCACAGTAACACACAACTGTAATAGCAGCACTTTGGGAGGCTGAGGCAGGTGGATTGCTTGAGCTCAGTTGGAGAGCAGCCTAGCCAACATGGTGAAACCCCATCTCTACAAAAAGATACAAAAATTAGCCAGCCAGCATTGGTGTATGCTGGCAGTCCCAGCTACTCAGGAGGCTGAGGTGGGGAGGATCACCTGAGCCTGGGGAGGTCAAGGCTGCAGTGAGCCATGATCATGCTACATTATGACCATGCCACTGCATGGCTGCCTTGGCAAGAGACCAAGACCTTGTCTCAAAAATCAAATGAAACGTCTTAGAGGTTTACCTGTGCATCCTATGCCACAGAATATCAGTGTGTAATGTCCTCCATGTCATTCTGTTGTATCATCCCCTGTTGAGTCACAAAGCCACCTAGCCCCTTATTAGAATATCCTGGCACATGGCCATGGATGGTGGCTCACACCTGAAATCCCAGCACTTTGGGAGGCCAAGGCAGATGAATCTGTTGAGCCCAGGAGTCAGAGACCAACATAAGCAACAAAGCAAGACCCTATCTCTAAAAAAAAATAACCTGAATGTCGTTGTGCTTGCCAATAGATCCAGTTACTATGGAGGCTGAGGTGTGAGGATCATTGGAGCCCAGGAAGTGGAGGTTGCCGTGAGCTGAGATCACACCACTGCACTCCACACTGGGTGACAGAGGGAGACCTACTTTAAAAAAAAAAGGAGGAGAGGGAGAAGAAAGTTTGTTGTGCCAGCAAGTAAATGAATAAAGGGACAGTATTAGAGTTGAGAAATAAATTGGAATATGATTTGGTACGTCTCTTACAGAAGATAAATTTGCTAAATGTGCTGAAGTTAGATGTGTTCTACAAGGCCTGATGCAGTGGCTCATGCCTGTAAATCCTGGCACTTTCTGAGGCCTTGGAGCTGCTTCAGCCCAGGAGTTTGGAGACCAGCATGTGCCACATGGTGAAATCCCTTCTCTACAAAACATACAAAAATTAGCAGGGCATGATGGCCCACAACTGTAGTTCCAGGTACTGGGAAGGCTGAGATGGGAGGATCACTTGAGCCTGGGAAGTGGAGCCTGCAGTGAGACGTGATCGGGCCACTGTGCTCCAGCCTGAGAGACAGAATGAGACCCCACCACAAAGACTAAAACTAAAAATTAAAAAGCCTGTAACATGGCAGTGGCACATCCAGTTCTCTACACTATAGGAATATCAGTGGCCAAAGAGATGTGTGCAAGAAAGATGATTGCAGGATTCTTCAAAATCCCAAAACCATAAAGCCAACCTCATTTCAAACACATTTTGGAAAGGATTAAATAAATCATGCACAAACTGAGGGGAAAATGCTGTTTTCAAAAACGATGGGGAGGATTATGATGACGATGAATGATTTTACTGGTCACATTATGTAAATCCAGGCACATCCTGGGGATATGACACCTCTCTAATCTTCCTGTTAAAAAAAAAAACAAAAAACAAAACAAAAAACCAAGGCTGGTATAAAACCCATCCAAGCCTATGCAGGGCAGCATGAGGATTTTATCGCGCCAGAGGGACTCCTTTGGTCCCTGTTTCTTGTACACAGGCACAAGACGACAAGACATTTCAGGAGATGCTCTGTCAGAATTGGATCTGTGAGGGGCGTGGCTCTTGACAGGGATCCCTGTTAACTGTGACTAGAATCCTGAGAAGAGAAAACCCTCCCTGAAATGGGCATGTCCCTGGCTGGCCTAGAACCACCAACCTTTCGGAGTTAGCACTATGGGAAGAAACGGGAGATTCTCTAGTGAGTGATAATACATGAACCCTCTTAAAGTCAGAGGAGGCGTTCCTGGGTGGGCTCGAACCACCAACCTTTTGGTTAACAGCCAAATGCGCTAACCAAGTGAGCCGCAGAGACAGGTGCTGGTGGTTTCACAGGGTGCTAGAGGCAGGGCCCTCACCAACCTTCCCGCATCCCTTCCAGCCTCAGGGCTGCCCCGGCAGAACGGTGAGCAAGACCTGGGGAACCTGGAGAGATTAGAGCGGCGAGTCCGCTGGTCCCTTAGGACACCGGCGCATTGGGAGATTCTGGAGTCAGAGGACAGCGGAATGGCCTTTGCCCGCCCTGCCCCACCGCTGCTTCAGAAGCCCCCGGAAACACCCCGGGTCCGCGACCCGGGTGGAGTCACCTGGGGGTCGAAGGGAAGCTCAACGCCCGGCGGGCTCCTGGGATGGCTCTTCCCCTTCTTTGAGCCGCCTTCACCCAGAGGGGAAGCCTGTGCCCACCCTGCTCCGTCGCTTTCGAGGCCGCTGCGGAGTTTCCGCTGCTGTCTTCTGATCCTGTGTGCCGCACGGGGGCTCCACCAGGGCAGGGATGTGGTGAGGGTCCTTCGTGGGTCCCCTCGCGGGGAGCAGGGTCCGGCACTCAGCAGGGCGCACAACTTGGACTAGTCGACTGAACGCATCGTCACCTTTGGCTTTTAGTCCTTTGAAGAGCCTTGAGAATGGAAGTCATGAGATTTTTCCATGGAAATTCCGTTTACGTGCGTCACATAGCGTTTATTCGGGTTGATTTCTCTGCACTCTGCGGGGTGAGCAAAGGGGAGAGCCTCCAGGGCTCCTTCTGCGCGGTGGAGCCTGGGCGCGCAGCTGGGCTGGGGTCGGGTCGTGGGGCCGGACGGCGGGAGCGGGAAAGGGAAAAGCAGGGAAAGAAGCCATGGAGCGGCGGACCAGACAACCAGACCTCCTAAGAGGCTTGTGCAGAGGCACTGGCGGTGAGATGTCATTTTGTTATTGCAGCAGAATGGAGAGGAATTGAGGGGAAAACGGAGACAGAACCTGAAAGAGCCCAAATGAGAGAACATGTAGCTCCCAAGAATAAGATCTTTCAGAAGAACTAGCGTGAAAACCAAGCATCTGGGAACCCTGAAATCCATGCAGGAGTACATCTCGTGACCCTCTGCGTTCCTTTAGGCAAAAGGACTTCCTTCCACTGTTTGTTCAATTGCTTGTGTTTGTTTAATAAATAAAGCGCTTTCCATTATCTTCGAAATTGCGTTGGTTCTATTACTTTAGGATTACAAACAATGTTGCACTCATCATTCTTGTTCACTTCTCACTGGTCACTGGTGTGTTTCTATAGGGAGAGGCCTGGAGAGCATTTGTTCTCGAATAGTGATCACATGGTTTTTATATCAGTCCATTTTCTTTCCTATTTTGGCTTGTTAGCTATAATTCTTTCTTTTCTTATGTCAGTGACGGCTTTAGGGTTTCTAGACTACATCTTGATAGTCTGCCATCAAGTGACATTATACCTCCGCTTCTGGCCTTTATGCTAGTGTTGTCATGTAATTTGATTTTAGACATGTTCTAAACCCCAACATCAAAGTACTCACATAGAGATTTTCAGTCATCTATATTTGTTTGTGGAGGTCCAGATTTCTGTCTGGTATCCTTATCTGAGGCCTAGAGGACTTCTTTGACGTTTCTTGTAGTGTGGGTCAGCGAATACTTTCATATATCTTTATGTCTTTAATTTCATTTGTATTTTACTTTTAGTTTAAGAGCAGAAGTTTAATAGGTGAAAGAAAGAAAAAAGCTCTCTCGTGCAGAGAAAGGGTCCCAAATGGGTTTCCCTATTTGTATTTTCTTTTTTTTAGATGGAGTTTTGCTCCATCATCCAGGCTGAAGTGCAGTGGCATGATCTCAGCTCACTGCAACCTCCATCTCCTGGGTTCAAGTGATTCTCATGCTTAAGCCTCCTGAGTAGCTGGGATTTTAGGTACGTGCCACCACAACTGGCTGATTTTTGTATTTTTAGTAGAGGCAAGGCTTTGCCATGTTGGCCAGGCTGGTCTCTGACTCCCTGACCTCAAGTGATCTGCCTGCTTCCCAAAGTGCTGGGATTACAGGCCTGAGTCACCATGCCTGGCCTCATTTTTTGTATGTCTTTGAATGTCCTTACTAAGTCACGTTCTTGAAAGATTTTTCATTGCACCATAGAATTCCAAAATAAGTTTTTTCTCTTTCACTATTTAGGATGTTGCCACTTTGACATCTTGTCATCGATATGCCATCTTTTCTGTTTTTGTAAAACTTGCATAAAGGAGGCCTCCTAAACTTGTTATGTAATTTTTGGAATGTGTATTTAAATTAAAAAACTTTTTCTTTATTATACTTTAGGTTTTTGGATACATGTGCAGAATGTGCATGTTTATTACATGTGCCTATACATGTGCTATGGTGGTTTGCTGCACCCATCAACCTGTCATCTACATTAGGTGTTTGTCCTAATGTTATCTCTTCCTTTTGCCCCCTACCCCCCAACAGGCCCTGGTGTGTGATGTTACCTTCCCTGTGTGTATGTGTTCTCATTTTTCAACTCGCACTTATGAGTGAGAACATACAATGTTTGGTTTTCTGTTCTTGCATCAATTTGCTGAGAATGATAATTTCCAGCTTCATCCATTCCACACAAAGGACATTAGCTCATTCTTTTTTATGGCTACATAGTATTCCATGGTGTATATCTGCCACATTTTCTTTATCCATTCTATCATTGATGGGCATTTGGGTTGGTTCCAAGTCTTTGCTATTGAAGAGTGCTGCAATAAACATACATGTGCTTGTGTCCTTATAGTAGAATGATTTTAAATCCTTTGGGTATGTACCCAGTAACGGGATTGCTGGGTCAAATGGCATTTCTGGTTCTAGGTCCTTGAGAAATTACCACACTGTCTTCCACAATTGTTGGACTAAATTTAGAATATTAAAAGGGGCTGGGTGAGGTGGCTCACATTTGTAATCTGGACACTTTGAGAGGGAGAGATGAAAGGATTTGACTGAGGCCCAGAGTTGGAGACCAGCCAGGACAAGATAGCAAGACACACTCTCTCTCCATATATATATCTGTATGTATGTGTGTATATTGTGTGTGTATTTATATGTCTACACACACACACACACACACACACACACACATAGATACATCCATTATGAAAGTCCTAGATTCATCTTAAATTCCAACAAAAGTGCACTTAACATAAAATGTCCCCACCCTGAGGGTCAAACCTACCTGCTGGTGTGTAATTTGTGTTTGTGTGACTTGTTAATAGCGTTTACTTTCCCTAGCATAGTGCTTTTCAGGTTTTTCTCACACCTGAATGTCCAGTATAAAACCTGCCAGAATTCATTTCTTTTGTGACGTTTCTTTGAGAACACTCCAGGGTTTTGTTTTATTTATTTATTTTATACCTTTAAAAAGCATAGAGACAAAGACTGGCAACTGGCATATATTACTATATTAGTCTGAGTTCTCCAGAGAAAGAAAAAGAGCAGGACACACACACACACACACACACACACACACACACACAGAGAGAGAGAGAGAGAGAGAGAGAGAGAGAGAGAGAGACAGAGAGAGAGAGATATTTACATTGGCTCATGTGATTATGAATCAGAAAATTCCAGGTCTACACTGAGTAAGCTGTAGACCCAGGAGAGTCGAATATAGTTCACCACCAAGTCCAAGGCCCAAGGCAGAAGACTGATGTCCCAGCTCAAAGGCAGTGAGACAGACAGACTTCTTTCTTAGACTTTCGTTCGGTTCAAGCCTTCTGTGGGCTGGATGAGGCCCATGCACACTGGGGAAGGCAATCTGCTTTACTCAGTTTACCAATTCAAATGTCAATCGCATCCAGAAACACCCTCAGAGACACAGTGAGAAATAATGTCTAACCAAGTATCCGGACACCCCCTGGCCCAGTCAAATTATCCCAAAAGTAACCTTCACAAACAGTCTCAGTAAAAGTGATGAGTAAATGTAGCATCATGTCCTGCCAAGAAAGACATTTTGGTCTTTTCTCTATTGTTGATTTTTCACGCATCACTCATTAATGACAAGATTGCCAGAAGAGAAAGGTGATCCCAACTGATAAACATATTAAAGAAACTGGATTAGTAAACATGAATAACTTCCAGGTAGATAAGGCCAAGGCAAGGAAATCACACTGAACACAGGCTGTGTTTTGGGAGGGAGGGGATTTTAAACAACAAGGAAAATCAACACTAAATGAACATATGAGAGAAAAGAATTGGGAAGACTAAACATGGGATATTTATGAAACTATCATTCACATATGCATATTATATACAGAGACATTTTATTAAATGTCTCTGTATATAATAGATAATGTATATGACAAATGACATAAATGCATATATTTATATATATAATTCCATTGAAAGAAAGTATTACATAGGGATGTGGAAGAGGTTGAGTTAACTTTATAATCACTAACATTATAATCTGGTCCACTGAAATTGGAAAAATATGTAGAAAAATAAGACGAACGAGAGAGAGAAGGTGTGGTAGGGAACGAATGCTCTATTAGACAGCATGGAGAAATCACCAGGTAAAGGAGAATGAAAACCCTTCCCTTTGTTTTATTGCCTGGAGCCTGATAAGTGCTCTGAATTCCTGGGAAAGCCAGCAGGTGAGAGTGTTGGAGCCAGGGGGGGTGAGTCGTGACTGGGGGTGTGGGAATCCATGGGGAAGCAAAAGAGACACAAGCAAAGAACTCAGTTTCAATACTCGAGTTATTATGGCATGTGTCAGGGACTGTGCATCCCCCGACCCTCACTGAGCACCTTCAATGTGTCCTCTCCACAGGCCCAGATGCTGCTCCTTATCTCATGTGACCTCCCTCCTCCTAAGGACAGGGCTCCTCTCATTCCTCAGCTGAGGGCACCGCCTGGCAGATGAGCACCAGGCAGCCCCAGGGGCTCCAGGAGGAGACATGGAGTGGGAAGGAGAGTAACGATGAACATGACCCAGGGTTTTAAGGAAATCTGAGCAGAAGTGGATTCTGTGAGAAGGAAACTGAGGATATGGCCATGGACATGAGTGGAGATGTTGGACTAAATGGAGTTTCATAAAGAGACTCATTTGTACACTTTCCACGAGAAGGTTGCCCTTTATTGTTTTATTTCAAAATGCGGTGAAACACAGAGCAAGAAGCTGGATGTGTCAGGAGACTGACTTGTGGGCCCAGGATTTGCACTTTTACTCAATGTGCCTAATAGGCTGTTACTGAAAGTGCTTGATAGGGGAATTTGACTTAAAAAGGGATATTGATGGAGTTGAAGACAACTGGCAAAAGAGACTTTCTAAGGAAACACAGGAAGAGGGGTCCCTAGAAAGTGGAGATTCTAACAGTTGCTCTTTTCACACAAAACAATGCATGTGACATCACTTCCTAAGTGCTAATTTACCAGAAAGATAGCAATAAGGTAACATCTATTCATACATTTTCTGAGCAATTTTTATTGAATTAGCCCTTTGGAAACTATACTAATTAATGTTTTCAACAACAATTGAATGTGGATATGATTTTTCAGGTCTCTCAGATGATGGAACTGAGATGAAAATACCAGCACCGCAAATGACTTGGCCAAGGTGAATAATGAGTGTGAGTTAAACCCAGGACCAGAGGGCAGATTTGATCCAAAACTCCAGGCTCTTGCTCACCTCTCTGGGCTGGAGCATCGTGGATTTCTACTTGACTCTGAGAGAGCATGAAGAGACACCACTGCCTCCTCCCCTCATAGCACCATTACCACCAGTGCCTGGATTAGAGCTTCCTGGCCCACATTCCTTCCCTATCTTGGAAGGGCCATTGGTTCCCAGGATCATCAGAAAATACTTGCAAAATACAGATCTGATAAAGTGCTTGGGTCCAAATGAAACAAAGAACTCTTCAAACTCAGTAATAAGAAAGTGAACAACCCAATTTAAAAGTAGGTAAAAGATCTGAACACCTCACCAAAAAGATACACAGATAGCAAATAGGTATATGAAAGAGAAACTCATAGTCACTTGTCATCAGAAAATTGCACGTGAAAACAATGAGGTAACAGATCATACCTATTAGAGTGGCTAAAATCTGTAAAAAGTGACAATCTTAAAATCTATCAAACAAATAGAGCTACAGGAACTCTCATTGATTGTTGGAAGAAATGCAAAATGGTACAATCGCTTTAGAAAATAGTTTG